GTACTGTACTCGGTAGAAACCAACTTGGCCTGGATTTAACTGCAGAGAGAGAGATTTCACCCTTTACATGTTAATCACTTCATTTCTTCGAAAGCTCGAATTCACCTTACAAATTCACCTTAATCCACTGATCTTTTCCAACTCCACTGACTGTTATTTCACAGGTTTTATTTTCTGACAACGTTTCAATTGCCGGGGCTGAGGGACTGGTACTAGTGCAAACAGCAATCGGTACTTTCCATTGGGAAGAATCTTACAAAAAAAATAAATAAATAAGTGCAAAGCACGGGTAAGTAAACCGCTAACAACGAAATTCAACAGTTTATGTATATTAAATCAAGAATTAAGAACTCTCTTTTTATCTTATTTTTCCGAACAACGAAACTCGTTCATTGTCGCCTTGCATTCATTCTTTATTTCCCCTTATAACATATATGTAAACATATTGATCTCATGAAATTAGAAGATCCTCGCAGCTAAGGAATTTATGTGAATTTTCATATATCTAAATCTTCATTCACTCGGATGTTTATTTGTACCCAATTCATTGACCAGCTCCCAGTTGGCTTGTTAGCTCAATTGGTAGAGCGCTGCACCGGTATCGCAGAGGTCATGGGTTCAAATCCCGTACGGGCCTAAAATTTTTTTCAGGTCCTACTTACAACTACTAGTTTCAGTAGTGTCCTTAGCTGCGAGGATCTTCTAATTTCATCTTTCCACCGCAGTGCAAATATGTGAATTTTCATATATCTAAATCTTCATATTGATCTCAATTATTGCGTTTTCTTTGCCCTAGAGGATTCTTAAAACAATCTAGAAGCTTCAACAGACAAGATAATATCTGCACTTCTCTGCTCAGGAAATATTTTATATACACCAGGGTTTATTAATTACAATTACCTTCAGTTGTCCCATCAGCCGAAAATTTGTTCTGTGTTATGGTGACCACCACATCTTCCCCTTTCTGAAAAGAGAAATAAAAGGGTAATCAGGCGTTTTCGTCTCGCGTGACTGCTAGCACTCATTACAGTGGAATAAGGTTGTGTTGACAGAGATAGTCGATTTTGTTATCAAAAATGTAAAAAGGTTAAGTAGCTTTACTGATCCACAATTCGTCTGCGCAAAGTTGTCCGGAGCGCAACTAGAGCTAAGCCAGATTGAGTTAGTGTGCCAGTGCAAAGCTTGCCTAACTCTATGAACCCAAGCACGTTATCAGTTAACATGAATGCCGCATATAGGTCATTAAATTGTCAACTCTTGCTGAAAATGAGGCCTCCCCTCCCCCCCTCCC